CCCCCATTGCCCTCTACAATTTTTGTCTAAACCATTTTTTTGTATCTGGCGTATTTTTGGAGATATTTCGATCTGTCACTTAAAATGACTCACCCTGTATATCTAAAGAGCACAAAATCATCTGAAAAATGACTAAAAGATGACTTCTGTAAATATCTTTTAGTTGTCTTTAAAACTTCTTTTACTTTTGATATTTTGGCACATGTAATATTTAATAACATTAGATATTCGAATTAATTTTTACACAAAACTAAACGAAATTGTATGACTGCCATAATGCATTTTTATAATCATGTTAGCTCATATTTAATATATAGTTTACGTTATATTACAGAATTTTAAAAATAATTATAAATATAATAATATTTAGTATAATATATAGTTTACATTATATTAGAGAATTTAAGAAATAAAAGTGCGATAAAAGCGTGTTTTAAATATGCCTGAATTTTTTGTAAATTGAACGTAAAGAGGCGTAACGGAAAGAGAATAGTTGCTTTCCATTATCACACAAATGATACTGAACCTAAAGTTATGTGAATATTTTATACTCACAAGGGATGCAACTGTCCCCCTCCGATTTTAATGAGCTTTTAATATGTTATTCTCCAGACAAAAATAAGCGACGTATTTTTTTATACGTGCCCATACGCACTTTTAGGGGATGAAACACCCTTTAGAAGAAAATCGGTTTTTCTCTTTCGAAGCGAATATTGCCAGAACTGTAAGAGATAGAAAAAAATTTTCATAATAAAAATTGAATGGCATTTATTATTTATATATCGCTATTTATATATCGCTTATTTTTGTCTGGAGAATAACATTAAAAGCTCATTAAAATCAGAGGGGGACAATTGCGTCTCTTTCCTTATCAGATAATGACGTTACCACTTACTTACTTACTTTGGTAACAAAATTATGTTACCGCATAACAATACATTTTATAAACCTCATTTTTAATGTGAGTTAATAAGACTTAGTAAAGCACACTCTCTCTAGCTTATGCAATTTGTAAGTAAAAATTCAATCGAATCTCACTTGATAGAATGAAAAGGAACATGCATTCAACTGAGTTATGACGTCACAAATGAGAATTATCCGAGTTTTTGGTGTTAGTGGAAAGAGCAACTAACATTACAAATTTTCTTTGCAACATATAAAACAAAGAGAGAACAACCTTTTAAACAAAGCGATACAGAATAATGTAACTACGTAACGATCGCTGATTGTTTATAGTTACGCAACGAATGACGTATACACAACGATAATCACTGATGATAACAAAGAATGGAACACAAAATTTGACATTCATCAAAAAAGTGCAAGATTAGATTATATTATAATTAATGCTTGAGTATCATTAATTCTAATTTTTAGCTTAGCATATTGGTGTCATTAATAAGCTATGTTTCTAACATGTGTTTGATTAAGACACGGAATAAAAATACACAATTTTTCTCATTTTTTTTCTTAGAGGTCATTAAATAGAATTAACTTCCTGTTAAATAAGAATGAAATGGTTGATATTTTCTTCGGTATAATAAATATAAATTCTCTGTTTTTCTTGTAATTATTTTCGAAATAAATGCTTAATCTAAAGATGAGTATCTGCCGGACGCGTATACAATTTTCTTGGAATTATTGCGGTTACGTCTATTATACAGTTTGATTATTCTGAGAGTTGATTATCTCACACTACATGCATACGCACGCACACATCACACATTCATTATTATCATCATTATATAGCTAATTTTACATAATTTCCTACATTGTAATAAAGTATAGGTGTCCTTCTCCTGTCATAAAAAGATCATTTAGCGTGATAGTTACGACATTTTATTATATATTTTAGTTTACGTATATATTTCATCGTAACGAATAATCATGGTGATTCGAATGAAGATGTAGACGTGCAAAGACAGATTGCAGTTTTCAAGACTGATTATCGTGAACTTTGATAACTGTTGATGCTAGGTATTTGACACTTACATAAGAATTGGTTGTATGTAACAACAGTATTATCTAAAAATATTGGTCAAAATATCAGCTATAAAAAACCAACTAGCTATTAGAGAATTAACAATTTATTGTCAAATACATTCTAAAACTAACTGCAAAAAAACAAGACAATAAACAGTTAAATAATTTAGTTTATAACGGCTTTTATATTAATATGTTCGAAATAATCATAAATTTAGACAACATAAAGTTCAAAATCGGGACATAAAATGTTTTAAAAAAATTCCAGCTAACGCTAAATATTCTATTATATAATTCCATTCGTATTACCAATGTATTTTGTTTAAAAACTGATTCACGGACGACCTGACCTGAAATTTTTGAAAAAAATTAAAATTTTGCGGAATATATATGGAACATTCTCGGAATACTAGTATGTAACGATATACAAATGAAATTTTTAACCGACATTTGAATGTTTTTTTTACATACTGTAAATATTCGGAATATTTTGGACTATTCTTGAAACGGTTTTTTGGGATTTTAGGAACATTTTATGAATATTTCAAGAATATTTAGCGTTTGCTGGAAAATACGTCCTAAAGATATTTTTAAACGGTGAGAATCGTTGACAAAACACAAAAAATGTCTTATGTCCTGATTTTAGTCTTTGTGTTGTCTGCAGGGTATATTTTGCTGCAGTTTTAGGTAAATAACTTTTATGAGTAAGTGAATCCAAATAAACTTTTACACAAATATTTATTCCCATACAGCACCGAAAGTTTTCAGAATTTATCTCAGAAATATTTTAACTGAAAAGTGAAACATTTCATAAAAATTGCGAAATATGTCTGCAACATTTCGAATCTGGGATAGCTCTGGAATAGCAACCCAATCAGCACAGAACACACACACACATTAAAAAAATATTCAAAACATATTTTTTAAATACTTATTTAATGTAAAAATATTAAATAAATGTTTTAAAAATGTTTTTTGAATATTTATTTAATATTTTGTGTGCTGATTAGGAAAATGTCCGCGATTCTTGCGAATAAAACTTTTATTATTGAAAGGTTAATGAAATGTTACAGAAAGAATTTGCATTTTTTTAAATATTACCAAAAAGAGAGATTTCAGCTATTTTTAGTATCACAAAAATGATATTTAAATAGATACTTGATTGGTACTTAAACAATATTTAAATTTGTTATGTCGATATAATAAATTTAAATATTATTTAAGTATCGATCAAGTATATATTTAAATAGATCATTCCTGAAGTATTTAAAATTTATTAAATTTTGTAATCTGTTTATAGATTACAAAACTTATTGAAATAAACTTAAAGTATTTCTCAAAAATAATAATTATATCGCCAACTATTTTGATTAATTAATGATATTATATATATAAGCACATATACATAATCACTATTAAAAAATCACACCTGCAATCATTCCACACAATTATATCATCACTATTCATATACAAAAGTTTTTTGCAATTAAAATAGAACGTATAAGTCACATAACATCAAAATGACGTTAAATTGAATTCTGATTGATCAAAAAAATTACTTTTAGTAAACATTTTGGATTTTAACATCATGATTTTTTTGTTCTGTTTAAACATGTTTTTCAATTTATTGCATATGATAGATTTTAGAAACACTTAATTCTGTCAAAACATTTCATATGACGTATTGCAAAATCCTTTCAGAACTGTTGAACATCGAGATGTAAAAGATTGAAACATTTCTGAAAATTTTCCGTAATCGGTGCTATATATGTTAGAGTTTTATTAGTTTTTTTAATTTGTAATGCTATGACAAATGTCCACTTTTAATTGCCATGACAAACAAAAAAATTTAAACAGTATTGGTCGCAGCACAGACTCTTGCATAATGCATAATCCAATGCGCTTGATAAAGTAAGAGCTATGGTAGGAGCATGTTGGAGCATGTTGGAGCTTTGCGAGGGAATAGCGATAGTAGCTCCTGCACACAGAACGCGGCAACGCTTACATCACACAGCGGAAGTTATCATACTAACCAATAATTCTATGTTCTTAAGTCGGTCTCACCTTGCAAAACTTCTAGAAATGATGTAATACTACTTCCGCCGCGCGGCAAAAGTTGAATTGAGTTCAACTTTTGTCGGGCGATGGAAATTATATATCGATTACTTCCGAGCAAGCGAGACGTTGATTGACTATCGCACCAACTTCCGCCGCGCGGCAAGCGTTCTGTGTGCAGGAGCCATAAAGGTGTTCTTTCATGCTGATGCTCGACGCTCATTTTCAGCGTCAAAATCGCAGCCCAAGACAGCAAAGCGGCTAGGCATGCTTACTGAGCGAATGGGCGAGTTCAAAACGGCAAAACGGCTAGGCATGCTTACCGAACGATTGAATATGATTGGTTGGATCTAAAAGTAACAACCAATTATGTTCATTTGCTCGATGGGCAGGCTAGCCGCTTTGTCAACTTGAACGCGCCTATTGTGTCTTGGGCTTAAGCGCTAACTGATTAGTTTTCTCTGCTGAGCTGAATGCAGTCAATGGCTGCGTTCAGCAGAACGTTTGTTTTGCAACTGTTGGAAGTTTCCTTCGCGCTAATTGGATCATACTTTTAGATCTAGAAGAATGGTCCTATCTCAGCAGATAATCAAAAAACGGTTGCAAAACTGTTGAGTCTGCTGAACGCAGCCAATTTCTTCGATCTTAGGAGCGAAACATAACCTATTTTAGACCAAACTTCGCGTCAGTCGTCATTAGCACCACTGGATAGTTGGTTTCATCAACTTTTTTGACAAACAGTATGAAATTACAATTGTCAAACCTGCCAAACTATTTTATGGAACATGGGAGATAAAGGTATTTGATCATCTTTTCTTTATTAACGATTATATAAAATGTTGTGTAAATCAAAATTTTATGTTTAAGAGCATCATGTTCACTTTAGTGGTGGAAGTGGATTTGGAAAAGATAACAATATTATGATACAGCCACAGCGACATGGTCATATAGATGCTCATTTAGGGTTCTTGCAACTGTATCACAGGTTATTTGTTATATAAAGCTTATAAATATTTTATGATTTTATATTAGTCTAATTGCTACGTTAAATGCTAAAAACAGACTTTAATTTCTGTCAATTACAATTATTTATTAAAATTTGTAATATATACAAAAATATATTAGGAAAGGGAATGCAAATATTAATTTTTAAATATTTCATATGCACAGGATGTCCCGTAAAGACCCAAACGATGCTTAAGGAGAGATTCCTGAGATTATTGTGAGACGAAAATCCTAATACGAAAATGTCGAGGCTACAATAATTTTTTGAATTATAAGCTTTAAATGCTTATAAGTAAAAAACCATTTTATTTTTATAGTCTCTATTATTATTTCTGGATTCTTTTGAACATTTTAAGATGAAAATCCTAATAGGAAAATATCGAGGCTATAATAGTTTTCGAATTATACACTATCTTTAATCAATTATAATTCAAAAGTTATTATAGCCTCAATATTTTGGTATTAAAACGTTTTCGTCTCAAAATGATCTCAGGAATCTTTCCTTAAGTGTTGTTCGGGTCTTTACGGGACACCCTGTATATATGTGTGTGTGTGTATATATGTATATATATATGTATATAATTTCAGATATCACATAGAATTTTCAGTACCATGGAACACATGTATTCATCCAGAAGAAAAGACAGTAGCTCCGGCAGTAATTGCAGGAAGTTGCAATGCAAATTGTCACATTGTCGATTTTGCACAAGAAAAAGATGGTTTAAGGTATAACATTGGTTAAATATATGTTTATCATGTTAATCAAGTGACACTTTCTTTTCAAATTGATCTAGTTAATGAAATAATTGATCCTTTTATCAGGTTAAAAATAGAGCTATTGGCACATAAGGAGAAAATACTAAAAGAAGATGTCGAAGTGATGTGTTGTCCATCAGGTACTCCATTAAAAATTGTACTGAATGCACGTGTTTTAGCTAAAGACAAAGGTACACCATTGTTGAGAAACGGCATACGTAGTATTGCTGTAGAAGGAACCAACGAAGATGAGATGTCTGAATAATGTTGCTTATTATCGAACTGTCTTTCACTGATAAATATTTAAGCATTTATGGCCGGTATTCATAGTCATTTCTTATTTCAAGACCGTCTTAAGTAATGTCTCAACACGCTAATGCGGTCCTCTGGTTGATTCGTGACATCACAAGGCTGAACTTAAGACGATCTTGAATATAAGAACTATGAATACCGGTCTAAGTGCTGAATACTAGTTAAAAGTTCGAACAACTCAGTATAATTAAAAGATCTTGTATCAAACTACAGCGAACGTTGCAATTGTAAATGGCCAAGCTCCACGAAAAAAGATAATTTGCCTACTGCTCTTAAGAATATATCACGTGCAAGATGTCTGCAAAAGCAATAATAATACCACTTATTCTCTACTTACTATGTACGCATTATGTATTAAACAAATTATATTTTGTTATTATTTTATATCGATCGATATTGATGTTATCGATCGATATCGATTGATATCGATGTTTCAACGAAACTTCCGCTAAATAAATATCAGTGGCACTAAATTACTTTTCAACTGTGATCATGAAAATTGATTAATTATTCGAATAAACTGAGACGTGAAGTTCTTCCCCATATTATTGTCAACCATCTTTGGCATTTATTAAAATCGCATCAATTTACCGTCTTATGTATACAGAATGTCCCATTGTAATTGCTCTAGGAAAATATCTTGAGGTCCTCGCGTTTGATGAAAGTAAGACAAGTCTATAATATATATGTAATATAAAAGTTAATAATATCAATAACATCTAGAAAAAATTTCATTGACTTTTACCATATCATTTTAAAGATGTTTAATTCTAAATTTATAGAATTTTACTTTACAAATTGAAAATATAACTTTATTCTGTAGTTATTCTCTTTTAAATTGAGACACTTGCGTATAAGGCAGCAATTTAAAAATCGTTATAATTATAAACACTTAGCTTTGTTTTCGTAAAGTTTCATTTAAACTGATCGTACAGTTTACAAGAAATTTATATTCTTCAATGAAAAAAGCTAGAGTATATCAAATGGACGATGTGTGTACATCAAATGAGCATCTTATAACTTTTATTTTGTCAAAATATTTAGTAACATATAAAATAATCTTTTTATTCCATATGTTATTTTAATATTCGTTTTACATATTATGAATAAACTATCTATTGACTAGGAAGTAGCGCGAGAACCTCCTTAAAAAAATACATTCGATTGGGACGCGTATTTTGGTTTTTTTTAAGTGGACGCTTTTTTTTAGGTGGAGGTGCTAGAAAGATATGAAGGTCAGTTGTACTTTTTAAAATGAAACTGTGATTTTTTTTACATAATGTGATTCCTTTAATTATTCTTCGTATAAAAGTATTAAGATAAAAATATAAAAAAAAACGATAGTTTACGAGGTATTTAATATTTCATGTCAATATTTATACCAAAATAAAATATAAAATATTTTGTAAACTATTGATTTTCTGATATTTCTACTTTAATATTTTTATATGCAGAATAATTGGAGGAATAATATTGTGTAAAAAAAATCACAATTTCATTAAAAAAAAAACGGAAGTGACCTTCTTGAAGCTTTTATCTAAAAAAAAGAAAAATAATAAATAATATGATCAAAATGTATCCCTCTCAAAACCGTTCTTTTTTCATCTAAAACATTTTTTCATATTTTATGTATTTTTTAAGATACTTGATAGGGCAATTAAAATGGGACACTCTGTATATACCATATATCACAATCATTTTAAAATTTGAATTGAAACGACGCGTCTCAGTCTTTTTGCCTAATCGACTTTAGTCGATAGTAAGTTTTAACATCGAAAATTGAATTTTTTCATAGGAATTCCAGTTGGGCCGTCTACAAATTCACAAATGTTAAAACCTAGTCTTGCTAGTGGATGACAATTGCTGCTGGGATTACCCCATTTGCCCTTAAAAGTCATCCAACCTGGTAAAGGCTCATTATCCTCTTCCAAGAGCAACTCCAATCTTTTCCATGTTGGCCAAGCAGTTCCAAACCCACTCTCGTCGTACAGACGAGGTACTCGAACGAACTTGTGCTTCCCTGGAGCTGTCCAAAGCCCGTGAGAACCGCGTGCGCTAAATAAAATCGGGTGTGAATCACCAGCGGTATAAACCTTTTCAGGAAATGTTGGCTTCTGGAAGAGACCTTTTCTCGTTTCTTGACTCTCATAGATGAAAGTACCATTTCGCGGATCATACTGATAAAATGCACCGACATCGTGTGCTGATACATACATTGCCAGAGGATATTCGTTGTCCTAAATGACAACATCGTATTTAGATAGGCATGTTCATGTGAATAATGATAACGGATGAAAAATTTACTTTGAAGAATTGCTAAAGATGATTTACCTTGAAATAAAGACTCATATGTTCCCAATCTCCGATGTGACTACCATATTCTTTAAGCGTACCTATGCACACGCCACTAATAGTAGGTATCGGCCAGCTACCAAAAAATCCAAGATCCAATACGCAAATGGTTTTTCCTTCGCTAAACGGATAGAACATCCAATAGGTCACGTGAAAGTGCACTTTTTGACATCCATTCTCTTCTCTGATCTTTTCAAATCGCGGCACTGTTGCCGCCTGAAATGAATCGCGTGAAAGAAAAGAAAACGAAATCGGAATTGAAATGGTATAATTATATCATTATTTTTTTTAGATTATTTCATATTCTTTTGGAAGTAATAGGGATAACAAAAGCAATAATGTGTGCAAATTTAGCGAATTCAATCATTTTCGTTTGAAATTTACGAAAAGGTACTTGTTGTTTTATTCTCAGTAAACACCAACTGAAAGCAGATATATGTATATTATAACGTACATCAATGTTATACTTTTTATACTCAATAATATAAATGTAATATAACAGGTATGTTATGTTACATTGGTGGAAAAATTTCGCTGAAATTATTCCACGTTTTGGAATCACTTCAGCGAAATTTCAACATTTCAAAAAAATTTAGTTTAAAATTTCAGCGAATTTTAGCTGAAAAATTCATTTTCAGTAAAATTTCAGAGAAATTTCAGTTCAATTTCAGCGATTTTTCAATATGTTAGCAGAAAAATTTACTTTCAATGAAATTTTCAGTAATTTCGTTGAAATGTTTCAAAACGTGGAATATTTTCAGCGAAATTGTTTTCACCAGGGTGTTGAGTGTAAAATTATGATGTTTTGATGTTACGTTACTTTTAGTTGGTGTTTACTGAGTTCTTGCCTATTTTCACATATTTTACCTGTCGCATTTGTTCTTGCGATATAATTTGTTCTCTTAGATCATTGGCACTGTAGGTCTGTCGTTGAGCCAAAAATCCTGAATCCTGTAGCAACGTGAAAGTGTTCCGCTCCTCGGATGTCTTCAGCATCGGCGTATTTCTTGCACGTAGTCGCATGTCTTTGGAAACGCAATTTTTCACGAGAGCATAGATGGGCACGGTTCCAGCGGGCCTTCGACCATACAAGAAGGACGATCGATTTTGTAATAAGGATTCTGTCAAAAAAATTTCTTATTTGAAATGTCAGTCAGCGATTTTTCGCGGCACCTGACTCTGTACAGAATATATACATATATGAATTAAGGGATAACATCTATGTAAAATTTTCAAAAAATCGATTCTTTTTTCCTTTTAAAATACACTTTAAGGTCTCAAAAATGAAATGGAAGTGGTTTTATTGCGATACATAATTTTTTTCGAAAGTTATAGGCTTCTAAAAATTCAATTGTTAACTTAAAAGTATTCACATTCAAAACTTTAAACGTGTTTTTCTTAAAACAGTATTTTTTAAGTTGGCTAGCAGTAGAATTCAAACAATTTTTAACCTATTTACTTCAAATTTTAACAGTATTTAACAAATCACATTTTCTAAAGAAATACGTAGAATTGTTTTGATAAGTTACAAATTTGTTTGTAACTTATCAAAAAAATCAAATTTTTTACAGCTGATTTTACTCGATTTTTTTGACGAAAATGGAACTTTTTATTTGTACTTCCGCCATTTTGTCAAAAATCAATATTTTCAAAAACGGCTACGCATTTCCGTAGATATTTGAGTAAAGAAAATTAAAATATTTGTTTTTTTGTTCTAAACCAAAAATTACGACACTTGTGCTGCTAGCCGCGGAACGCCATGCTATTTCGATTGTCTCCATCACGCTGCTGCAGATCCGCCATTTTGATAAATAAAATTCTGAAAAAATTATTTTTTTGTACTCTTTATGTGCTTAATAAAGTTATAAAACTCATATTTTTTAATAGCACGATTCATTAAACAAAAAAAAATTCCCAAACGTAGACCTTATTTACAGCCGATTACATAGGTGTTACCCCTTAATTGAATCACCACACTTCACACTATTCTACAAACGATATAAGTATTGTTTATATCATTTATCATAGCTATTTCGAACATTTACCTACGTCTATTCTAGTGTGAAGGTAATACTGGTCCGATTGTACGTTATCCAGGAATTCGGTTACACCGAGCGGTAAGAATCGTTCTCCAGGCGCAAGCCATACTAAAGGTGCCCAATCTCGTACTAATCTTCTTACTAACAATAAGATTGGTAAATGAAAAAATATTTAATTGCCGCAAGTAGAATGTGTGCAAAAGATGAGAATGATATATGTATATCGCGTGTGTTACACACATGGCACATACGCGCGGGATCGAGCGCATCTCTGACTCTCGGTTCAAATGCATGCCAGTTCTCGTTGTATATCGGGCGAGAAACGGGCACGTAGGTCAACGCGAGATTCTTGTAACCCCATTACGGGAGTCTAAGGTGAAACAAGTTCCGCGCGGGTGTTTCTTGTGCTTCATATCGGTACTTCATATCGTACGCGCGCGTTTTTTCGCCAAGTCAAAGTTAAAAAGACTTTCGATCGATTATCCAATCGGGTCGATTTCGATCGTTAACGCGGCGAATTACAAATAGGATTACAAATAGATCGTAGGATGTAACGATAATATTTATTAGGTATATGAGCAAAAAGTTGCGCGCGACGTAAAACGCATAACTGTCTAATTTCGCTAATAGTCTCCTAATAGGCTTCTGTTGCGCTATAGAGAAGCTCTCGTCGAGATAATTCTCGATGTGAGACATACATTCAAAGATATATCGAATCATTAACGAGCGTTATAATAATTCAACGCAACGAACAACAGGCGAGTTTGCCGTAAATACGTTATTTTCTCAATCGATTCGACGCGGCGCGGCGTTCCAAAATATGCTACCAAGTCGTTATACCTTTTAAAGAAGTCGAAACATGGGCAAAATCGAAAATTAACGCGCAACTTGTTTCAATCCGCTTACACTCGCTTTGCTTCTTTTGACGATCGTGTGGAACCGGTCCAGAAATGGGACAACCGATATTTAACCCTGCAGCCTGCGTGTATTTGCACACACGGAATAAATACGAGTACATTTTATGGAAAGAAAATATCCTTCTGTGCATCTATTTTTGTGCATCACGATCTTTTTCAAAGTTTTAATCGTAAATTTCATCTGCGCTACTATTTCGTCTTGATTAAATAACAGTCGAATGAAAACGCGTTTTTGTTATTATAGTTTCGCATTGTATTATTCCGTCGTGCAATCCTGATTGATTTATATAGTACTCGACAAATCGTATTGTTAAACAATTTTTTGTGCTATCTAAAAAAGGATAAAAGGAACGATACTGAAAAAAAAAAAACGTGAATAAACATTAATTTTATTTTTAGTTTTATTTTGCAATCCGCCACTCGTATAAATTCGACAAACAGCATATGTTTCTTCTTTCAAATCCTCTTACAACTTATAATTACAAGCGCAGTTTTGCATAACAATTTATCGTCTAAGAGTGATATCGTTGAATAACATTCGATTCACGATCGATCGAATAGATCAAGAATCATGTCTTACGATATTTATTAAATCACGAGATTTGTCTTTCGTTTAAGTATAATAAAAGTGTACCCGAATTTGAAGTAAACCGTACGAGAAGATGTAAAAACTCCCGATGTACGCGTCTCGTATCCGCGCATTAAAAGAAAGAGAAAAGAAAAGGACAGATTAAATGTTCGTTTAGCTACACTCGCAATTTATATCGATGTACAAATTAGGTACATACCTCGTTTCTCATTGGTCGCGGATAGTCGCGATCCTGCGACCGCGTGAGTTACGACAAGTATAACGAACAATAATCCTGTCATGTTCGTTCCATCGATACATTTTGGAAAAAGGAGGAACGCGACCGATAATCACCGATCCGCATTTTTTTTTGTCACTATTTTTCGCATTTTTGAATTCGTGATTACCGGCTATGCGAGAGAAACAGTACACGCGAGAGACGAAGATTCTCTTTGGTATCGACCGAACGGAAACGCTTCCCAGATTACTGACCAAAGCGTGACTACCTCGCTTTCCATGCCGTTCACTAGACAAATGTTACAGAATACGCGCGTCGCACATACATACAGTCTCGCATTGCGGGATACGTAGCCAGGCGCGAGCAGTTTGACCTTACGAAAAATTTATTTCAACTTATGACAAACGAAAAGGAAAGTGGATCGATTGTACGTGTATATCGCATCCCTCGATATATATTAATTATCCATACAATCATCAGATATATTAGTACAATAATTGTATCTGTATAATCGTAATGTATAATATACATATATGTATATATATATATAGTTTCTCTTGTACTAATTACTTTATTATATAAAGATGAGGGTAAGACTAATATCTTATAAATATACAGCACTATTAACTATTTTAGTACCATTCGCTAGATACAATTTCCTGACTTCTAAGCAAATGTAACTGAAATTTCTGTAACATTTTGATTAGGGAGCTAAAGATTAAGATAATTCTATATTTATCTATATTTCTCTGATATAAATCTCATGATTCTAGCATAACTAAACGAAGTTACTAGATTCAATTGATACTAAAAGGAGATAGTTACACATATTTGTTTGATAGAAAGTACTAAGACTTTGCAATCGTACAAATCTTTTGTTTATGATACCAGTTGAGTTATATTCTTATTGATGTAAATTATATTATTGTTTTTTCTCTTACAACACAGATATCATTATAAATATGTAATCAATTAGAGAATAAATTCAGAATAATATTCTAAAAGATCTATGTGTAATATGTAACTTTACAAGCATAATTTAAAACATTTTATTTCTTATTTTCTGCAAAGCGCACTATAAAAAAAACTAGAAATTTTGAAAATATATTATTTCTCATAAATTTTGTATATATAATTTCTCAATCACTAGAGACAACAAGATATCTACTACAAAAAGATTGTGCATTTCACATTGCTTTGAACATATCACAAAAATACTTCAACTGTGATAAAATTGTTAAACAACCATATATTCATTAATATTTGTAAATAACCGTAGAAAATGATTCAAACAGTACATATATGATGCGTATTTTTACATCGCGGGTCTAAATTTTCTTCTGCAATTAGGGCAAACGGCCTGCAACATAAACAAGTGTAATCATGAATTTTCGTGCATGCCTCAAAAGTTTATATCTAATTAGTACATTTTTGGATTTTACCCCAGGATCAAATTTTGTTAATTCATTAATGCAATCCTTGTGAAAATTATGTCTACAAGGGCGTAACTGTATTACATCCGAATCAACTAATGCATATTGGCAGATTGAACAATTGTTTATATCATCTTTACTTGTTGCAAGGTCTCTTCTTTCTTTACTTTTCGAAGAATTTGATGAACTTCTTCTATTTAATAGTACACTGAAAGTAAATATTTCTTGAAGCATATGCTATATAACATGTTTCTAATATCGTAATATTGTTTCTCAAGTAAAAAAAGCTCATGTTTCTTTTCTACTATGTTATGGAAAATTATGTATCTGCGAAAAGATGGAAATTCAAAGGAAAGAAAATTAAATGATGTCATTAATGCGCAAGTAATGATACTTATGTATACGTATTCAATACTTTTCAGTTGGATGCGACGATGTTGTCCAAGAACGGTCTTCATAATGGTCTTCGGATGATCTGTTTCTCGAATACGAGAATGATTGTCCATCTGTGCGGTTATTTTCAGTGAACACATAATAAAGAAAAGTCGCTATTCCAACTCCAACTCCGACAAGTAATACTAATCCGGGATACGTCATTTTCATTACATCTAAGCGATGCGCATACGACGAGTATATCTATCACTTAACTTCATGTTTTATTATTTTCGTAACGTTATCTATCATATCTACATTTAATATACATTTGATGAAGAATCTAATCAATTATTAAGGACTTCCCCTTTAATTTTTTATCAATTGCAAGCAATCACTTCTCAGTTCTTGTATAACGGAAATAAAGTATCACATATACACTAATCCTAACTTAACCTAACCTATCCTATCCACGAAAATAGTAACAAGTAACAGACAATATCAGGCAGGTTTGCTAACCAAACAAACTTAATTTTCTCTATAGATTGGACAATAAACCGAACTAGTGGTTTCTGCACACTGGACGCGGAAACGCTTGCCGAGCGGCAAAACGTGACGCGGTAGCCAATAAGCTTACAGCTCCTGACATGTTCATTGGTTACCGCGTCGCATTTCGCGTCCAATGTGCAGGAGCCATAATGGAGAACTCATACTTGTCCAATAACAAACATTGGCTGTGTTCAGCAGAGAAAATTATAAATTAATCAGTCAGCTTGGTGATTCTTTAATACGATTGGTTCTTACATTTAGAAGAACTCGGTGAAAAACCAGCGAAGAACTCAGTGAGAAATGACAATGGAATCGATGTCGAATCGACGTCGATCCATTGTCATTTCTCACCGGGAATTAAAGGTAAGAACCAATGGGTGCGTTCAGCAGAACGTTTGTTTTGCAACTGTTGTAAGTTTCCTTCGCGCTAATTGGATCATACTTTTAGATCTAGAAGAATGGTCCTATCTCAGCAGACAATCATAAAACGGTTGCAAAACTGTTGAGTCTGCTGAACGCAGCTAATGATATTAAAGAATTACTAAGCGCTAAAGGTGCCTTTTCATGCCCGACGCTCATTTTTAGCGTCAAAATAGGTGACATGATCAAAATTGACTATTGATAGTCGTCAATTTTTATCTGGCGCCTTATTCTTGAACAAATATCGCATTATTTTCGTATATACGAAAATAGCAATTCCGTATATAATCGACCAATCACAGTCAAGAAACTGTCATATTCGTATGCGAAAATTATTCGTATATCAAGAATAAAGGTGCCTTTTCATACTGACGCTCGACGCTCATTTTCAGCGTCAAAATAGGTCATGTGATCAAAATTGGCGCTTGATATTTGTCAATTTCTATCACGTGACTTATTTTGACGCCGAAAATGAGCGTCGAGCTGAAAAGGTACCTTTAGGCCCCTGGGTACCTATCATGGAACAAAATCGGAATGGATTCCGATCGGAATTATTCAATATAGATTTCTATTGTGTTTTCTGGGGAAAACGGAATAATTCCGATCGGAATCCATTCCGATTTTGTTCCATGATAGGTACCCTGATCTGTTTTGACACTAAAAATGAGTGTCAAGTATCAGCATAAAAAGGCACCTTATCTGATTAGTTTTCTCTGCTGAACAGCGAACGGAGCCATTCAAAATGGCTGCGTTCAGCAGACTCAACAGTTTTGCAACCGTTTTATGATTGTCTGCTGAGATAGGACCATTCTTCTAGATCTAAAAGTATGATCCAATTAGCGTGAAGGAAACTTCCAACGGTTGCAAAACAAACGTTCTGCTGAACGCAGCCAATGTCTATTCGCGTTGTTAAAATCCCCAAAAATGTTTACATTTAAAATGAGATAAATATAGGTCTGACCGTGTTACTTGCACTTTTTGCTTTAAGCATCTCCGTTTTTTTTCTCTTCGACGCCCAAATATACATGCATAAATTTATCTCATCCTAAGTTTAAAAATTTTTAGAGTTTAAACAACGCGAACAGACCTTACATATATTTAAGCGTTGGAGAGAAAGAGAGAGAGAGAGGGGGAGGAGGAGGGAGAGGGAATGGGTGGATGAATGGATAGAAGGAAGGGGGATGGACAGAGGGGAGTGGGGAAGAGA